GTGCCAAACAGAGAACCAAGGTTGTTGTGTTTTATTCAAAGGACTGCTGCCTTATGGGTATAGTAATGTTTGATCAATTTGGAAAAGATGATGGTTGGGAAAACTGCCAGCAAAAATAAACAGAGGTCTTTCTTGTTGCTAGCAATAATGCAAAAAGCCAACAAACAATAAATGGAGTTACTTCATAAAATAACAATACACTACATGCATGTTGTTATAGTTGAAAAATCARACATTACAATTCTTTTGCATGTCAAAACAGTGATTTAATTTGCTAAATATACCATATTTACTCATGTATAAGCCACAAATTTTTTTCCAAAAAATATCGTTCCCAAATCGAGGGTATTATCTATGAGAAGACTTGTAAAAATGTCTGAAAAAAGCTATTTTRCATTAATTAGCATTCACTGTTGCTACTTACTGCAGACAGTTGGCAACGTATTATAAATTGTCTAGGACATTTAGTAATGTGATAAGTTTGTTTTACACACCTCAAACAGAAATATTTTAATGCAAGAGCTTCATAGTACACYGCACGTTATCAAAATAAACTTATCGTAATTGCTTAAGCAATGCAATGGATCACGGAAAATTGAGCAGCGGGAAAGCACTTTAAAATCAAAGAAAGCTGTGTTCACAGGTGTCGATCACCAAGAGAATAGTTTAATTTCTGCCAAAAACGTTCCCAAACTTGGGGTGCAGCTTATCTACGAGAGCGGCTTATACATGGGTAAATATGGTATTATATAATACATACCAGTTTTAATTGGTGCCTTCAATTTGAATTGCTTTGAGTAGAAAATACTGTTCCCTGCAGTAACAATACATTGGACAGCTTCATCGTAGAAACCTTTGATTGTATCAACATCATCCTGGGTCAAATGYAGAAACAGAAAGTCTCCATTTGGCAGAAGAACTCTATTTTTTTTAYCAGTTGCAAGTGTTTGAAGTGCTAAAGCACCCTTTTTTCTGCCCCAAAAGTGAATTGCCCCAAAGTCTTTATGAGCTGCTTTTCCACTATGTTTTGGACAAACCAAACGTAATGGCGAACCAACAACTATATTATCTAAATTTTGAACAACTGAGTCTGAATCTTCAAAATCATCAGCATCTAGAGAGATAAATAAAGYTTAAATTAGGTACATTTTTGAAGGTCTTTTGGAAATTATATAGCTGTGAATTATGAACAATTTTCTTGGAAAATTCCAGTCACAGATCAGATGTCAAATAAACAGATTAAGGTCTCATACTCCGATACATGATTGGACAGCTAAAATACAGCATGAAATTGAGATTGCCTACCCTTGAGAACAGAGGCCTGTCGTAAAAACAAACCAATTAACAGAAATGTCTTGCCACACTCGATAACATAGTAAGCAAAAGAAAAAAAGACAAGCCTCTGGAATCAGGGTACCCATGCATCTGTCAACTTTTGATTTTAATGTTAAACTTGTCAAATTTTCAGACAATTGTACTTACAGGTTACTTTGACTCGCATTTTTCTTGTAAACGTCCCACCATATGCATTCTTAACTAAGCACTGGTATTTCCCATCATCACGAGGTGTTACACCATCATACCACAAAACTTGTTCATTAGGTTTCTTTTTATCATTTATAATTGAGATCCCCCTTCCTTCAACGACTGGTTTGCCATTRTGTTTCCAGGAAAAGGTCATTGGTGTTGAGCCAGTAGTTCTGCACAACAATTTAAATTCCTTTTTCACATCACTGGGCTCATCAAGTGTCAGTTTTCCTGTTCTATTCTCAGCAAATAGTGTGATGTCTGGTGGAGTTTGCCCTGCAAACAACAAATATTTATCAAATGCTAGTTAATAGTTAGCTTATGCAGAGAGTTTTATCACAGCCAAAGAATGATGTCAACAATATAATATTAAGAGGGTGTTTTGTGTTGTTTATAGAACGAGAGTGCATGTTTATCGGGATATATAGATTCGAGCCGCAGGCGAGAATCTATATACCCAATAAAACATGCATTCGAGTTCTATAAACGACTTCTAGAACTCCATCATTCAGAAATTGTTATCATTTTAGAAAAAAGTTAAAAAATGCGAAAACAGTGATCATGCATATTGAACTTCTAATTAGCATGTGCATTGTGCCATAATTGAAAGAATTTTGATCCCACACGAAAGAACGGCTAGTCGAGCTATAGTGCATGTCGGCACATTGATTCAAACTGATTTAAAACCTAGCAAAGGTCTATGATGCGACATTAAAACTCAGACCTTTGCTAGTGTTGGGTTACGATAAAGCACTCATGAACTTGATTAGTTCTTTATATCTGATATAGAACTGATTAATAAAACATTAGTACTTTATCGGATATATAACTGATTAATAAGACATCAGACGTGCTTTATCGGGATATAAAAGCCCATCATGTGACCCAATAGTTCGATGCTCATTGGACTAATAGCTCATGAATTATTAATGAGTTCTAGAAATCAGGTATAAAGATTCGAGCAGAATTAAGCATACTTGTGTCTGCTTTGCATGTAATAATCTATTCAATTATATCTTTACAGTAAATGTTTTTATTAAGGGAATGAACTATAGAAAAAAATTGCTCAAACTGGATTTCACAGAGGAAAACAGCCCCAACATGAGCAGAAGTGTTGGCTWAAAATAAWCAAATCATTTCTTTCAAATACCTTTTACAAAGGAACAGCACACTATCAAAACCCCAAAGCACAACAACATTTTGAAGAAACCTGAAATGTAAAATAACAATGAATAAAATGGTCGAGTATGGTGAATTATAACTCAACGATAGTAGTATTTATTCATCATGTCTTGGTCTCATACTCCGCCACACTCTCACAACACTGACTTTTAAGTGCAACCATTGAGCTAATTATATCCCAAAGCTAAGACGTTTTATATTTCCAAGACAATGTGCAACTACATAAAAACATTTTTCAGAATTCTCAATAGAAGAATAAAGTGGATGTCTGTTCTAGCAAAAGTTGCTAGTGTAATAACAAAACAACTGCAAACAAGGAAACCAGTGATTAACAATGGTAAGCAAAAAGCGGTTTTCTTGCTCTTGCCTACTTTTGAGAACACCGTTTTTGGAATGAGAAATAAGTCATTAAGTTTGCTCTGTTACATAAATCTCGATGAGAGGTTACTTAAATATCTACATCTTCTTGGGATAATGTTTGTGCATCAAACTTTTTTCCACATAATTTTTACTTGATAGCCTTAATCAATAGTTRGTATTAACCCCTGAAATTTTTAATGACCCCATGCGGCATCAAACGTCTKTCAATATTAGACCATCTTATGAAATATAGCACTTGTTATGAAAGAAGCTAGCATCTCCCAATTACTTTCAGATAAATTGGGATATTTTCTAGACATAACATTAAATGTTTTATTAAAACAATCTGATAAAGAAAATTCTTGCAATAACTGCAATATTTTTATTCATTAGAAAGCTTTYCTATGGTGTTGATTAAATTATAATCTTTTTGGTATGTTTTTTGAAAGGCACATGCATCATGAATAAATTAATTTATTTTAGTCCAGCTCAAAACAAACATGTTTTGTAAAGGTTACTATAGCCGGCTCAATTTTAATCTTAAGGCTCGAAGAACATGTAATGAGCTTCAACATGAGAAAAATTGGTTTCAGACATGGGATTGTCTGTAAAAGCTTCAAGGGCGTCACATTTTATATTGTTTACGAAATAGAGGTGCGTATTGATCATACAATTCCACAAAAAATATTAAAATATTGACACCTTTGAATAGCAAATTAAAAGAGTTTTGTCGATATTGACACAAAGGAAAAACTGACTTCTGAGCTTCAAGGGATTCAGGTAATGTCTATGCATATTATTAATGTTTCGTGCGTCCAAGCTTTATAAAGCAGTGAAGCTTTACAAATTTGAACGAAAAGAAAACAAAATAATCACATTTTTACAGCGCTAAATCTAAATATAAATGCAGGACAAATTGGGAAAATAAAAACTCAAATCATTTTAGATGAGAAAAAATAGTCTTTGATTCATGACTTTGAACTTTTASTGTCATTTCGCTGACTGCTGCGAAGAGAATATAAACGAGGCATTTGCTACATTTCAGTAGTTTTGTAGGCGTCGGTCACAAATTGGAAATTATATTTGAGAAAGCAATCATAAACCCAAGTAAAATTCAATCAAATCCAACAGAGAGCTCTCGACTGGACATGTAATACTGTGAAGTTTTCAATTTTTCAAATAAAAGCGGGTCAGTAAGGMAATAAATAGATGATTAGACGTTATGCAGACTAAGTTTGTTCTTTGACAACAATTCACTGAACAAAAAGTCAACTTTTACTATTTAGTCCACATTACATACGTTCAGTTTATAAAGGCAGATCTTTGCGCAATCAAATGTAGTTCGGTTGGTTTAAGTATTGTTTCACACAACATATAATTTACAAATCCTCAGCAAAGTTTGGAGGTCAAAATAACTTTACTCGGATCGATATGTACGASTTGAACTCCATGCACGAGGTAAACAAATGAGGCGAACGTATCCATTTTTTCCGAGATCGCACACTTACATGCAAAGACAACTTCTCATCTTCTATTTCAGGYACTTCAATGCCTATCCTAACCACAAGAGACGATAGCTTTCGAAAATCGAGATAACCAAGCCCAAGTTTCATTTTATTGCGCTGAATTGTGAGTCACGCCAACCAGCACTTACAAGTTCAACTTGCATAACTAGATTTAGTTTAACAAAGCGCTGATTCTAGCTGAATCTAATGGCATAAAGCTAAAACTTGCCTGTCATCTTATAAGAAAATCAATAAGAGTAAACTAYATCTAATCCTAGCAAAATCAGAGTGTAAAACAAAAGATGGATACGGCTTTGCCAGGCTGGAGAGCATACAAGTGTGTTGGCTTTGCAAATCAACACATCCAGCTTGGATATCAAATTAAATCCTGATTCATTGACTGACCTGTGCTTACAACTTCGAACTGCAGTAACAGAGATCCTTTCCTCACTTGCGTTCGTTAGATCATTAATCCCTTGAAAATCCTTGTGAGTTCAGTTCACCCAAACGGTTTTATTTAGCACTTCAACGATGAAGAATGAAGACTTGGGCGGCATCCTGACCACGTGACAGTGACGTCACTGGAAATTATTCACTATGCAAATCTCAGTGTGCGTGCTTGCGTTAGTTGTAAGTTACTATTTTTAGATTTTTTTGCATTTTTTAACAGGTTTGGCAATGGATTTTCTCAGGCAATCGGTATTTGTTTCGTGAGTCATTGTAAATATTGATGAATTTTAGTCATAAGCTATCACGTCTCCYATTTTAATTTKAATTTGAGCGTAGGTATAGTAACGCAATCGCTTTTGTATATTCATTCTTCGAAAAAAAAACACTAGAAAATGTAATATTCAAAAAAAGGATGCAAAATAGTAGAAAAACTGCTTCGATAATGCGAAGCACTATCCTTTATATCTGCACTCCACTCTGTCCTAAAAAGGTAAAACGAAATAACTTGTTCATCAAAACACTGAGAGGGATGTGAAACTGCTTTACAAATGTGAAATACTTTCATTAAAGTTTGTTTTGATCAAGATATGGTATAATATTCAGGGCCGTAGCTAGTAAGAGGCCAACCGAGGCACTCGCCTCGGTAAAATTTTGCCGATGCTTTTTGTTCTTCATCACTAATATTATCTTAGCCTCGCAGAGCCGATTTCACACGACTGATTTTGTGCAAAAAATACAAAAATAATGTTATTTTTGTACGTAATTTTGTACGTTTAGCTTCTTTGTTTCATAAATATTGCATGATGAATTCCGGTTAAATCTGTTCAATAAAGAGTTACCAAAAGGCCCACAAAACGCTGCAACTTGCATTTCCRAGAGACTGAATTTCAAATTTTCTAGGGGGAGAATGCCCCCAGACCCCCCTAGTTTCTCCCGCCATCGGCGGCCGCTTGCCTCGGTTGTCCATTCACCCTGGCTACGGCCCTGTACTGATATACGATGTAAAATGATTTATCGCCTGAAACTTGAAGTGACTCTTAAGTGAAAGTGTCATTCTTTCGATTTAACCTAAAAACCCAAGAAACCACAAAATGATACAATTCGATAAATATTAAAGAACATGACATATCAATTCCCGAGTCGTCAGCAACCGCACGTTCAGTGATGAAAAAAAAAAATTCCGTGTAATCATTTCTGGGTAAGTACGGTTCATCCATTCCCCCCTCCTCCCTCCCCCCTCGCCCCTCGCACCTCCCCCCGAGGAGGCTCGACTTATTTTTGAATTTTCTCCAACAGATTGGTAGGAAGTGATTGTGATTCAAGGTGTTAGGACAATACCGTTCCTTCTAGACATTGATTAATTTATCTCTGTGCCTTTATTTAATTTGATTGTTTTGATCGGAAATATCGGATTATTGACCTTTATTGCCACTCCTTGATTTCCTGTACGACAATGTACGAAGTAGATAACGTCATGATTGTCATTACGAAAAGCTGAAACACTGATACTGCGACCACTGGATTTTTATTTTGCAAGGCTTTCATTTTATGAATCAGGACTTTTCGGTGAGAATCGCGATGCAGCATTTTCAGCCATTTTCCAGGCCTGTGCTGATTTTCTGTCTTTGCAAGGTTGCTCTGTTTTTAAAAATAACTCGAATCACAATAGACAATCAATCTTGGGATGATCGACACTGTTTCAAAATGTTCCGACCGATCCTCATCTATTTTTAAAGCGACTCTTACTGGATATCCCGTTACTCAGTCGGCCTTATTCATTGGTTTGGTAGAAAGAACTTGGACTGACAAGAAGTTGCAAAAACTTGAAATTGCAACAATGTTCCCTTACACTTTCATAGCCCACTTTCGAATATGCAAGTTAAATATAATCATGCACAAAGAGATAAATCTAGGTTCTAAGGAAATAATAATTTTTTTCCCGCAAGGCCACTCGTTTTCATGTCTTTTGTGCCTAGCTGTGGCATTCGAACCAGCATATCGARAGATGGATTTTGACCATCTTTCGAGGATATTACAAAATTAAACCAGTGTTCCGGAGTTTACAACTGGAGGTTGCTGCAATTGTGGCTTCCCGATGGACCAACATTTTAGAATGGCAAAAATGTGTCCTTGCCGTTAGCTTTTATAACCCCATCAGAAAGAAAATAAATGAGAAAAATAAATGGAAAATATGAAGTGGAAATTCTCCTCGGGAAAGAACGTAAAGAGCGCGCGCGACCGCATCTGTTCTTTACTCAGAAGTCCGTGTATGCGGTCTAAGACAACCTGATTATTTGAATATAACACGTGCCTTATTTACTGCAATRTTTTATTATTAATTTACACGTTCCAGTTGATTTATGTACAGCGATTTCTGTTCATGTCGAATATGTAGATGAATTTAGTACAACTATCTTAGGTTTGGTTGAATTTGTCTCACTATTCTTTTCCCCGTTGGCTGGTTTATCTGATAAACTTAAATTTCCTATTTTAATCTCAATGTCTTTTTCTTCGATATTCTCGCTTGAGCTTAATTCTTCGTCMTTTTTATCATCAAGAGGTTGATTATCTGATAAATTCAAGTTTGYTATCKTGGTYTCAATTTCTTCTTGTTGTTCTCTCGAGTCTGAGTCTTCGCTGTCTTCTTCGCTATCGCTAGAGTCCGTTGAGCTGCTTTCTTCGCTGCTTTCAATTTCTCCTTCAGCGACTAACAATGCTGCTTTTTCTAGTTCTTCAAGCTGCCAACCAATGTCTTTTTTGTTCACTTTCATCTGTAAGTAAAAGAAAACATCGTCAGCTATCAACTGATTTTGAAACATAATGAAAGATAATGAAAGCAAACTAGAAACCACATTTGGTAATTATTGTCCTCTAGGAAAAAAAATGTTTTTGTATTTGCGGAGTTCAGATCARCAATTCTGAGCTTACCTTTTGCAATGTCTTGGCAAGGGAATGCAGCTTTTTACCGCTATAGTGCAAAGGAGAGCTTTTAGACTAATTTAAACAATTGCAAAAGACAAAATTTCTGTTTTCATCATTGCTATATTGTCGTCATAATCATTATTATCATCTTKTCAACACAGGATTACATCGTTCAGCATTACCTGTTTGCGCAAAACAAACACTCCAATACATGTCACTGTCTCTATGATTGTCTTATAATGTATCCGAGAATCGGTGATAAAATTATGTTGGATTCATTAATTCTTTTGTCAGTCAGTCAGTCAGTCAGGGTGGCAAGGGTGGTCTAGTGGTTAAGCAACTGGCCTCTCACCGCTGTGGTCCGGGTTCGATTCCTGGGCACGGACCATATGTGAGTTTGAGTTTGTTTGATGTGTTGTTCTCTCCCTTGCCACGAGGGTTTTTCTCCGGGTCCTCCGGTTTTCCTCCCTCAGTAAAAATCAACATGTGAGGAGTGTTGTGTGCTAAAATAATTAATGTAGAGGTAGTGAGTGTGAGTGTGAGGGCCACAAGTTCATCAGTTCTTTACTGTCACGTGTTACCCTCGTAAAATAAAGTCGATTTATTTATTTATTTATTTAGTCAGTCACTCTGTCAATCAATCCATTGATCATTCAATCAATTAACAAAAGAAATAATCAATCATCTGATCAATAAATTTGTCAACCAACAAATCAATTAAAAGCCAATTAATCAAGCATGTGCAATCAATCAATCAATCAACAAATCAATCAATTAACCAACCAGTCAATTAACAAACCAATTAGTCAATAAAATCAATTAGCACATAAAACGATCAATCCATCAACCAACCGTGCGGCCAACAGACTGTATGTTGATCATGTTGACACTAATTGTTTTACGCTAACTGTACCTAGTTTTTTGTAGCCATACACTGTAGTCCGTGATGTACAAGTCGTTTAGTAGGAATCTTGGGTCATCTTCATTGAAAAGACCGTGTATTTCAAGTAAACACTTCAATAAACGTCTCCTTCCTAAGTATAATAAAACAAATTAAAACAATGAGCACTTTGTTTCAACATTGGCATCGACTAATGTTTTTTCCTATAATAAACAAGGACAACAAAACTCTCATGGCTGATGAAAGC